CCCTTAAAAAAAAAAAAAAAAAAAAAAAAAAAAACCGGGGGCTTCTCTAGATTCACGCTGAAATGTTTTTATTCGACAGAACCGGACCGCTCCGCTTAAAGTTAGGGGATTCTTTCGGATCGGACTGCACCAGAAAGGCTAAACCACATGTGCACAAAGATGCTTTCTGTACCCAATGCCGAAATGCGAATCATCAAAAAACAGTGTATGAAAGGTGAGAAAGGTAAGTAGATCCTTACTGCGTCGAAGCGAAAACCTTCTCAAGAGCGGGCTTATCCCTCAAATCAAGCTGCAAGAGAAAAATCACATTCACAAGAACAATACAAATCGTCAATCGCATTGTAATTGTAGATCGAGAACTTTAGGGGAAAATCGGAAAACAGACTCCAAATCAAATCCACATGTAACTATTCATTTCGAAGAAATCGCCAAATCACGCTCGTGCATAAGAATGAAAGGAACCAAAAGCCATCAAACAAACACGATCTACAGTTTAACACACCACATCGAACGATTGACCTAACAAAAAGTACAAAAGCAAGGCGAAATCAAGGCAGAAACCTTGTGAAATACGAGATTCTTCCCGAAATCCCCAGCCAGATCTGTGACTCTACGAAGAGCGATCTCGGAGGAGTTATCCAAGTTATCGACGACGACGGCGTTGTAGCCGCCGAGAAGAAGCTGAAGAACGGTGTGACTGCCGATGTATCCAGCTCCGCCAGTAACCAAAATACTCTTCGCCATGGCTGATGCTCAGAGGGAGAAACAACTGAAGAGTTGAATTATTCTGAGAGGAGTTGGGGATGGTAAGAGGGAAGAGGGAATTGTATTTTATAATGCTTATGAGAAATTGATTGCAGAGAAGTTACTGTTACTTGTACAAGTAGGATGTCGATTCAACAACTGCAACACCCAGGTTTTATTATTATTATTATTATTATTATGTGATTTGCAAGTTTCTAAATAATGTATTTTTAAAAAATTATTTTTGAAAATCAACAAGTTAATGTCTTGCAAGCTTACTGATTAAAAACACATTAGGATACGAGTTTATGCATCTTTCTAAATTTGAATACATAATTAATTTTATATGATCAAACACCATATATTTAAATAAACCTTCATTAACAAAAAAAAAAATGTGATAACATGTGCCTCTACATTATAACTTTTTAATTAGAAAATAAATGACTAAAGTTATTGACCATGTTTGACATGATCTTACTATAAGAAAAAAATTAGGAATCATAAATAAACTTAGAGCTGGAGAGATAGCTACTTATTGGTTAAATTAATTATTTATTAAAATTATTTTTACTTTTATTTATAGATATAGATGATACAGACTAAAGAAGGACGAGACTAGTAGGCTAGAGACTACCGTAAATCCATTTATGAGTCTATTTTGTGTACATATGCTTCACTGTTGAAAACTATTACTTTTGTACGATAAAAATTACTGGTTTTACACCTGAATACTGATTTTACATGTTTTACTGGTTAGGTATGAAAATAATTTAATTTCATGACTGGGTTCAAAGTAAATTTTCAATAATATCAGTTAATTGAGCTGAAATTGGTATCTATAGTTTAGAAAATATATATAGTTTCATTAAAAAAAAATTATATACAGTATAATTACTAAATTTAGATATTTAAAAAGACATGAAGTAAGAAAATAATATTTTAATCTAATATGCATAAGGGTAATCTGTTTTATAAAATAATATGGTGTTCTTCTAGGATACTTGAAGCTCAAGGAAAGGTCAAGCGTGATTCAATGGCCTCTTACCTCTCCACCTTCCACTTGTTTGATCACAAAGGTGAGGTTCCATCAATGGCGATCTCTAGATTTCTGAGTAAAGAGGGGAAAAAAAATGAAAAAGCAAAGGAAATGGCGGGTTCAATTTCAAATTTTTCAAAGAAACTTCTCCCTTCACTCTTCTGCCTCGTCGTCGTCGGACTCACGCCGGAAGCCCCCGACGTTCAATCGCCAAGCTGCAGTTCAAATCTCAGAGAGATTCTTCCTACTCCGTACTCTGATCTCTCCGGCCTTGCCTGCTCCCTCATTTGGCAACAGACGTTTTCCTTCCATGTAATTTTCTCAATCCATCATTTACTTTTCGTATTACCAATACTATTTCATTTCTTGTTTTCGGGATTTAACTTCATTTAAACCTAAGAAATTTAAGAAAACTATAGAGAAGCTTGAAAAGAATCAGAAACAGAGGAAGAAATCCATGAATTCAACCCGAATTTGTCTGCTAATATCTCACCCGATTCTGAACCGATGTATGTTGCAGTTTTACCAAGACGATCAGAACGTGACGACGTTGGTGTTAGCAGGGAAACACGCTTACAGATGGATCGGAATCGGATTTTCCGGCGACGGAAAAATGGTGGGATCGAGCGCCATAGTGGCTTGGATAGAAAGAGACGGCGTCTCTGGATTAAGGCAATACTATTTAGAAGGCAAAAACATGTCCAGAGTCATACCTGACAAAGGCGATTTGCATTTCACCACTGCAAGCCCTGCCGTTGTTGTTCATGGAGAGCTTCTCTACATTGCTTTCCAGCTCAAGTTCAGCACTTCCCTATCTCATCAGCCAATTTTAATTGCCGTCGGCTCTGGAAATCCCTTAAGAAATGGCCTTCTCCCTAAACATGTCAACAGTACCACCACACACATCGAGTTCAGCACAGGTTTTTCCCCCAATTTCTTCTTCCTACAGACCGAATTTCAACAAATTAGGGCTCGAATTTTATCGAATTACCGTTTTATGCAGGTCGCGTAGCACGGCAACCAATGAACCCTAGCGACCTAAGAAGATACCATGGAATGGCGGCGGTAATCGGCTGGGGCATTCTAACGCCGGCTGGATTGTTAATCGCGAGATACTTCCGCCACGTCGAACCGTCGTGGTATTACTTTCATTCTTCAACACAGTTCGTCGGTTTCTTCATCGGAATCATCTCCATCTCTTTAGGACGCAATCTGTACCAGAGAACCAACGCCACTTTCCTAGGGCACAAATTCCTCGGCTACACTGTATTTTTCCTTGCAGGTCTCGAGGTTCGTTAACCGTAGCCGATGATCCTCTGTTCTAACGCTTCGCCCCGACCGCTTCGCAATCTGAAACTGTATTTTTTTTTGCTACAGGTTTGCCAGTTCATGGGAAGGCCGTCGCGTGAGTCCATACGCCGGCAGTATTGGAACTTCGTTCACTATTGGGTGGGAAGAACCGCAATGGTATTGGGAGTTTCGAACGTTTTCGTCGGCTTCCATGGAGTCAACGCCGATCAGGGTTTGAAGATATGTTTCTTTGTGGCGTTCGTTACTCTGCTGATAGCGTTGATCTTCTTCGAAGGACGAATGCGGAGAAAAAATGAGATTCCGAAAGCCATTATTGATCAACCGCCAGTGTTTCGAGTCGCCGGTCAATCTTGAAGCCTTTGTAAAAGATTATGTAAATACAAATTATGAATCATTCACGTTATGAACATCTCTTAGAAAAAAGAACTTAAATTACAAGTATGCCATCCCAAAATATTACAACTACGAATTAACAACATGACTGGTTTTTTCTCTTATAACTAAATAAATATTAAAAATTAAAAAATTCTTCAAAATTATATTTTTAGAATCCAAATATATTTTAATAGCCACATTATAATTAAAGTTTAATTTTGCATATAATTCGATAAAATATATAAATATATTAATTTAATAAAGAAGAAAGGCATAATTTAGAGGGAAAAGTAATGAAATTCTCCTGATTTATCTTAATTATACTATTCATTAAAATTGAAACGTTAAAAGAAAATAATAATAATAATATAATAATAATAATAAATTTTGGGTAATTATAAATATTTTAATTCGACCATTCAACTCGTTAGCAAAAAGACTGGCGTGGTCAAATTAATATTTTGTAAATATATTTGGACACTTAAATATTACTTTCAATTTAAAACTCGTGAATTAGTTGAATAATTAGACTCATACATTAATTTAATGTTAATATATTATTCATTGAAGGACCTAATTGCAACTTTTTAATACATAAATAGGTAGAACCGATTAAAGGTGAAATTGAGAATTACGGTAAAATTAGAGGTTCAAATTTTCATACATTTTTAATAAATTTTAAAAACAATTAATATCCGTAGAATAGAAAATTGTGGAATTAGCAAATGACTGAAGAGTTGATATTGCAGTAGTTTTGCAGTTATTATTACAAGGTTAATTAGTCACTTGAAATATGTCCACCAAACTTAATCATATATATTTTATCTTTCATTTTAGGACAGAAATTAATGTATTATTTCTTTCTTTACGTCTCTTGTCTCTTGTCTCTCTCTTTGCATATTATAGTAAAACATTATAATTAAAATGAATTAAAATTTAATAACTTTTATGGTAAGTTTTGAAAACTTTATTGACATTGAAAAATACTTTTACTTATAACATAAGGAAAATAATTTTTAGGCCTCATTTACGTGTAATTTTTTAAAATTAAATTTATAACCACTATTTCAACCTATGAGATTTGTGAATTTATTTGTTTCCTTATCTATTTTTACTCTGGTTATGAAATCATTCCTATTTAAAAAATAAAAAAGGAATGAAAATTTATTTTATTTTTTAATTTTGTTTCAGAACTAAAGGTTTAAAAAAAACATGAAAATTATTAAAATAATGTGATAAAATAAGAAATTAAAAAAAAATTAAAACAAGAGAGTTGACAAATACATTTACTTGGTAGCTTATAAACGATAAATCAGGTGCGAGGGAAACTTGTAATTAAATTTAAAAAAAGGCAAAACCTCCCAAGTAAGTCGGTGTCTTGTTGCTTTCTATCTCTCTCTCCGTAAAGGTCAAGCGTCGCCTGTAAATTGAAATCAAGAGCTTCCGATTCCGAATAACTTGCATTTATCGACGAAGGTCCTTCTTCAAAGCGTCGGTTCGGCCGATGCATTGCCGTCTGCAAGGTAATTTGTGAGTCCATTGCCTTTTCCCCCTCTGATTTTTCTCTTTACAGAGTCATTTCATGGTAGGCGTCTCGTTTTTATTGGTATTTCTTTCGATTTGTAATGTCGTGTTGATTGTTTCAATTTTGATTTAGATCGGCAGTGGTTTCTGAAATGCCAATGTTTTTCACCGCGGAGATTGTTTGCATGTTTGAAGATCAAAGTTGTTGATCTCCTTTTTCCTGGACTTCCTTCTTGTAACAGTACTAATTATAACGGACTTGTGATATTTGTTTCGATAGATCTTCTTGTTTTGGCTTTCTGCAATTGATGCTCTAGACTCTCGAGCGTGAAGTTCCGGAAAACGATCTCGAAAAAACAAGCAGTTCTTTTATATGAGAATAAAGAGATAATGGATAGCTACATTGTGGTTGTATGAGAAATCCAGATCAATAGCGAATTGGTCTAGGTTAATATGTTGTTTTCTTCTCCCGTAGCTTAAATAATCAATACTCTGGTAGTTTTGGGGCACCGCCTGATCTTTTAACCAGATGACAAGAAGCTAACGGACGAACCTTTTTTATACATAAATTTAAACCTAATTTTTTGTTCAAAGGTTATATTTTCATTGTCCGATAAAAAAAAGAAGGAATTGAACTTCTGTAAATTTTGCATTTTGGTGAACAAATTTTTAATTGTTACAATTTTTTTTTGGTGCTTGATGTTACAATGTCCGAGACAGGTTCAATGACGTTCTAATCACTTTCTGAACCTTGTCTTCCTTGGTGAAGAGCAGCTTGGCTTCCAAGTGGAAAAGAGAGGAATCTTGAGTGTAATGGCCTCTGAGAGGGAAGTTTTTGAACTTTCAGGGCCATTACACTTAACTCCTGTTAATTGGTAAGAATAATTTTTCCTCCTATTGTCATAAAAATAGAAGTCCAATGTTTATTACTATCATATGAAATGTTGAAATGTTTTCAGAGGGTCCCTTAGTTGATCGGCCCAAATGTTCACTTATTTATTTCCAGCTTTGGCGATTTCTAGATGAACCAAGTAGTTTTTGTTAGATCATATTTTAAGACAATTATTTAGAGTTATGTTAGATTTTCTTGTTCGAGTTATTTCCTATTTGAATTATGATTCAAAATTAGACAGATTTTAGTATAAATAAATTGTTCGATCTGTATCAATTCTATGAATAATAAAACCTTAACCCTTTTTGCATATGCTCTTTTTTCCCCTCCCTGAATTTCATAGTTTGTGATGTTTTTTTTAATAATGTTTTATGTTGTAATGATTATTTTAAATTATTTGATTGAGTAGATGATAACATTATGACTGCAGGGAGAATGCCGATCACAGAAGGTCAGTTGCTGCTTGTTTGGTTCAAGGTGTCTACATATTAGAACGGGATCGACAGGAGAAGCGTCAAGGTTCTCAGGCCTTAGCTCCCCGCTGGTGGGAATTCTGCCACTTTCGGTTGCTTCGTCCACTCGTCGATGATGTTGACTCTTCCATTTTTGGTGCCGTTTATGAATTTAAACCAGTGTTGCTTCAAGGCGACCACAAGAACGATGGGAGTCCCCGTTATGTGATTGCCTTCCGAGGCACCCTGACCAAACCAGATTCTGTCTCTCGTGATATAGAGTTAGATCTCCACTTCATTCAAAATGGTCTTCATCGGACATCACGGTTTGAGATCGCAATGCAAGTAGTCAGAAACATGGTTGCTACTGTTGGTGATTCAAATCTCTGGTTAGCTGGCCATTCCCTGGGGTCAGCCATGGCAATGCTCACTGGAAAAACCATGGCAAGAACAGGCATTTTCCTCAAATCATATCTCTTCAATCCACCATTCTTCTCTGCACCAATCGAGAGAATCAAGGACAAGAAATTGAAACATGGAATACGGATTGCTGGCAGCGTTATCACAGCAGGACTTGCCTTTGCTTTGAAGGCCAGTAGCAATAACCAGAGGAATCCACCCGAGGAACCCTTTTTTGCCATTTCAGCATGGGTACCATCTCTATTTGTTAATCCATCAGACCATATAGGATCAGAATACATTGGATATTTCGAACACAGGAAGAACATGGAAGAGATAGGTGCAGGAAGCATCGAGCGATTAGCAACCCGAAACTCGATCGGAGGTCTTTTGATGAATGCAATTGGGAGGGATTCAGAGCCGCTTCATCTCATTCCATCAGCAAACCTGATCACAAATTTATCCCCTGTACAGGACTTCAAACAAGCTCATGGCATTCACCAGTGGTGGCAACCACATCTGCGGTTGCAGTCAAATATCTATAGGTACTCCTAGATATTTCTGCTTTTGAACTTGTAAGACCTGTATTTTATCAATTATGTATTTACGGTGGATTAGCATTTGAGAATTGTTTCTTCGTAGGTTAAATTGCAAATTGTTAACGGAGCTAAACCATTCCATTTTGTTTAGGTTATCCTTGTTTATAATCTGACAAGGGAAAATCTACACCTTCATGGATACTTCGAGTTGTTATTTTAGGAAATATGGGGACTTGCTATCCCCAGGTTCACTCAAAATTTAGGGGTTTCAACAATCCATTAGATTTGGAAATTCATAGATTTCCCATTAAGATCCTCAATATGAACTCGATGCCCATATTTTCATCACTTGAAAGACGATACTGCAGCCTACCTAGAGATGATTTTTGTTTTAATGACTGTTTATAGTAAATGTCAAGTTCTGTAAGTAAGTTTGGATGGATGTGATGCGTTTTTGCAGCAATTTGGGTCTTTTACTGATAATGGGAGTGGTGGTTGGGCCTTCTTCGCTATAAATGAGGGCCGTCTACCTAATTTGATGGTTGCTTGCTTAATAAAATGATCACCTTCATCTCCACTTCACTCAATATCTTAATGGTAACATTTAATATGCCAAGAATAAATAGATAATATTTATTGTTTTGGGTGCTGATCATATATCTCGACCATAACACTGGTTAGAGATTCCAATCACTTCACAAGTCAAATCGATCGACAATAACACTGCTTAGAGATTTCAACACTTCACAAGTCAAATCGATCATTTTAAGATTGAATGATTTTAATCCGTTAACATATAAACTTAGTCATTGATTAAAGAAAAACACAAGATTTTTTTACTACATTTTCATACATGGTTTTATAGGACCTCAAGATGAAAAACTCTTTGACTTGCCATGACCTCAAGATGAAAAACTCTTTGACTTGCCATGAACATTTTTAGAGTAGAACTTTAAATTATCATTCACCCAAAATGTGTAAAATAATAATAATAATAATAATAATAAATAATGAAGCTTGACTTGAATTGCAACAATTTAAACAAAATTTTCTTTGAAGTTTATCTTCCATGATTGATGTCTTGGTTCATATCATATTTTTTTTTAGTTAAAGTGAAACTAGTAAATGTCACCCCCCATAAAGTAACATAACAAGCTCGTCGATATGAGGACACATAAGTCTAAAAGCAATATGTGTACCTAACTCAATCTCAACTATATATATAAATGACATATTTAGTTTGGATATTTCACTTGGATTTAAAATATGACCCGATTTGACCCGGCCAGTCTGTAAATGACGGATTTGGTTAGAATATGTGGCTTGAATTTAAAAACATGACCCGACCCGTAGACCCTTGCTAGATAGACACCATTGTTTGATGAAGTTTATAATTTAATTTTGGTGTATATTTGAAAGTTGAGAAGTGCTACTGTTAATCGGTCAATGGGTACAGAGAAGCCCAGATAATTGGCCATGGACGGGCCCGCCGTTCTGTAGCCCAATTCAAACTGACTGACAGAACCTAAAATCGTCGGACCTTCTCTTTGGAAAAACCGAGCAAAGAGAGAAAATCCGGAAGAGAGAGAGATCATCGGTTCCGCAATTTCATGTGAAACTTACCTACCCTCTTCTGCAATTTTCCATTTTCAGCTATGATCTGACCGCCATCGCCACGGAACCTTCACAGAACGTGATTCTGAACAAACAAATTGCCCTGGAAAAGCATTCCAATGGGCTCCTCTAAATGGAGTTCTAGCTCATCGGAATTCCACTTCATCGACGTCTAAAACAGGAGTTGTGGGGGTACTCTATGGGACGGGTGATTAATCTACACCTTTCTGCATCGTAATTGCTTCAACATATTCCGTTATTTGACCTCTAGGAATCCTACGAGTAATATGATGGAGGAGGGTTTGGTTCCAAGTGGGAGAACGGAGGAAGAAACTGCAGAGGTTTACGATATCAATTATGTAAGTTTCTAGTTAGTATCTTCGTTTTTCTCTTTTTTTCTGTCGCCATCAGCTAATACGACATAGTATGATCGTATTGAATGCAGTAGAGGCCTTTTGGAGTTGAAAAGAATCTGTGTTTATGTTCATATCTTATTCCCCCTTACGATTTTCATCCTGGTTATTGATACAGTTGTTCTCGTGTTACAGGAGGTTTCTGATGAGGTGGAAAGATGTGGGATATGCATGGATGTCATTGTTGATAGGGGTGTTCTGGACTGCTGCCAGCACTGGTACACATGCTTAATCAGTTTCCGTTCCTGGAAATTTCATGTCATTTTATGCTTGATTAACTTCTGGAAAGATGGATTTTCTTTCGCATCTCTCTCAACTCTCGGCATCCTCTCAGTTTGATTTAGTTTTAGCCATGTCTCTTAATGCTAGTTTAGATGGAAGACAGGAATTACCCGATCTCTTTGTGCTCTTTAGAGAAGAATAGAAGCTTTTCTCTTTGACTAAACTTCTTGAGGTGAAAAAGGCGTGCATAAGGGCTTCCTCTTTCTCATGCTTGAAATTAGTAGTGGCGGAAATAGATTTAAAGTTCCTAGAAATAGAAACCTAGATGGCTGAAAGGCTTTCTGTTAATTTTGGAGTTTAGTAGGTGTGTGGTGACTAGTTCTTAGGAGGTGTCGGTTAGCTTAGATATGAAACCTTTTGCATAGCTGGTCAAAGGCTGAGCGTCCATTCAGGTTGAGAAACTGGTATAAACTTAACCATACTTGTGGAATGAAGGTTAATGAGAAGGAAAAGGAGGTTGTGAATAGGGATATCATTATAATTGTGTCTAAGAATTGCTTTCATTACGATTGATTTAACTGGCCAACCAAATACCCTCTTGAAATTCTTTTTGGCATTGCCTCTTATCCGTCACAATTTGTGCTCATCAAGTCTTGCGAAATTTTCTTCAAAATCAAGCCCCAGAACTACGTAGTTTGCTGAGAAAAATTTGAGGTTAGTCTAGGAGGTTGCAGATATCCTTTTGTTCTCCTACCCAAAGTATGTTTTCTTTAATTAACGAGAAATTACTATAGTACTTCCAATTTGGATTTTCTCTCGCTTGTTCACCTACTGCATTTCCTAAGAAGTGAAGTTTGCTAGTGGTGCATTTGGTTACGCTAAATAGTTTGCTTACGTGTAATGCTCCTGAATAACCTCCCTTTCAATGATACAAGTTATCTGATTCAGACATGCTCTTTGTATGATGTCATCAACATTGAAAATTTATCAATAAAGGATTGAAGAACTTGATTCATCCACCATATAAAGTTGGCAGGTCCTTTACAAAGCTCAAGAGCCTTTATTAGTAGCTACTCCAACTTTCAAGGTGTACCTATGTCAACTCCAATTGTCCACAATCATGTAGTGGTCATCACTATTCATTGTGTTCAAAAGATCTTATGTATTTTTTTCAGCTTTATTTTGGTGTTATTATTTTGTTGAACCGTGTCACCCAGATAAATACCCTTGTCAACTTGTGTTGCTTTACTGCTTTCGTTAAGAATGTCGATATATGATGCTACTTACTAGAGGGAGATATGTGGAAAGGCTGTCTATTTTACAGTAGATTGAAGTTGCAAGGCTCCAAAGCCTTCATTGTAGGGAGGGAGAGAGGAGAGAGGGTAGGAGAGATGTTTCCACCATCTTATTTTCAGGTTCAGTTTTTGTATGCATTGGAAATTGGGCTACAAGTACAAACCTCCATCATCTTATTTTTAGGTTCTGTTTTGTATGCATCGAGTATTGGGTTAGAATTATAAACCTTCTCTTGGTTTTCTGCGTCCACTGTCAAACAGGGAGACGTCTGACGCAGTGAATCTCATATAGTTGTTAAGGGATTTTCCAGTTAGTTTGAGGAGGACAGATATTTTTGCGATGCACCTGCCCTTAGATGTTCTCTTTATTCCTCATTTTGGAAGGTGAAACTTCCTAAGAAGGTAAAATCTTTTGCTAGTAGGTTTTACTGGAGAAGGTGAACATATTGGACCTTGCTTAGAGATTTGTCCTTTTGTTGAGGACCCACTGATGCATTGTCTATTGACGTATAGTTGAGGGTCTGATCACGTCCCTTGGAAATGTCTGTTAGCATCTTCCATTTTGGAACTGAGACCACATTTTGTTGCGGTTTGGGGTTTCTTTAGCCTGCATAGAGATTTTTGTTCTTTGATCCACGAGATCTTTTGGGTTCCACCTCTTTCGAGACAAGGGATGGTTCCTTTTGAGGGTTGGATTCTATTGCAGTTTTATGGCACATTTGGATTGAGAGGAATAATAGGATTTTTAAAGGAGTAAGAGCTAGTGATGAGGTTTGGTCTCTACGGCTAGGTTCAATGTTTAGTTCTATAGTTATCTGCTAGGACTTATTCTCTTGGGTGGGAGTCTGTTTTTGTATAGGTAGTCGTCATGACTCCTTGGTTTGCGCTGTCTTTTTGCATGCTCTTTTATATTTTTTTTTCATGTTAAGCAAAGTGTTGATTTTCATAAGAAAAATTTATCATCCTCTGTCCATATTACTTTCTGGTTTTGTTTTGTATGCATTTACAAATGGTTTATAATTATAACAATTTGTCCATCTTCTTTCAGGTTCTGTTTTGTATGCATTGACAACTGGGCAACTATTACAAACCTTTGTCCACTTTGCCAGAAAGAATTTCAGCTCATCACATGTGTTCCAGTAAGTTAACATTTCTTTGCTCAAAGCTATACCTTTTGCTTACATTTTTAGCATTGTTGCAGGCCTTTGTTGTTACGTATTATTTCATTTCCTCACTGGAAGTTTGATTTCTCGATAAAGAAAAAATTTGAGGAATAGCTGAAATTTGAAATCTTGATCTGGTTTGTAGGTGTATGATACTATTGGGAGCAACAAAGTAGATGAAGAATCATTTAGCAGGTTTGCTTATTTCATTTTTTCTATTATTTGTACAATTATTTATGCTGATCTCCAATGCATTTATGTGGCATACATGGTGTTACAAAATGGCTAGCAAAGGAGAATACTATCATATTTGCTGATGCATATTCATCAGAGCTGTATTCTAATAATGATGCAATTTGGACTCTTAAAACTGAAAAGAAAGTAAAAATAGCTGTTTTCACATTGCATAAGAGCTTTTATTCTGTTGGACATTACTGAACTGGAGCTTGTGCAATGTTGGTTGACTCAAAATTTCATCAAGATGGTTAGTAATGTGCATGGAGCAAGTTGGATGTTAAGTAACCTCCCATAGTGGTTAGGCATGCTTCAAGCGGTAGGTCTTACCAGATGGAGGAGGAATAAATCTTAACAACCTACTAGAAAAAAAAAAAAAAAAAAAAAAAAAACCTTGGGCCTTTTCTTGCCACAGAATTGACAAGAANAAAAAAAAAAAAAAAAAAAAAAAAGAAATCCTTGGGCCTTTTCTTGCCACAGAATTGACAAGAAGATAAAAATCGCTTACGTTCGTACAAACTCATACATACGCACATACGCACATACGCACATACATACATATGTATATTTATAGGAGTCCTATTCTAGTGAAGAGTAGAGAATGTAATCTATATTCTGTAATATATGGCACCACACTCCATTTTCTGTTACTTTTTCACCATCTGATTACAAGATACGACAGTGAGAATCGTCAAGGGTCACTCAAGTTGTCCTAAACACTCGTAAAAACCTACAGTGCTTGTTCTTGTCAGCATAATATACCTTTAAAGGTTACAGATAATAATAGCCCTCTTGCCCATGTCTCGTTGCTCCTTACTGATTTCTTGGCTGTCCAGGCCTTGTTACAATGTATTTGCTTTGGAGAGAATTAAAGTATGTTTCCTGGTATTCACATATTTATATTTATTGGTAATAATTGCTACACTTATTAAATTTTCATGTGGAATTATATGTAAATCGTCAAATTGATCCCACTTATATTTTCACTCTTATTAGTTTTTCAAAATCTAGTAAACTAACATCTCATGTCTACTTCTCTGCAGAAATGACGATTGGTGCTTTGAGGGAAAGAGTAACATCTCTTTTCCATCATACTATATTGACGAGAATGTAATTTGTCTTTCTTTTTTAATCCTTCTAGCACTTTTGGGGTCAATTTTCATCAACATTTTGTTCCAATTTTCTATAATAACTGACAATCACTACACAAGAAAAAGAAGATTTTTTGATAATTTTAATTTTCTTGGGAGTCCTGATAAGATGAGCTGCTCTTTTTTTTTTTTTTTTTTATAAATATATATTTTTTTCCTTTTCAAATTTAAATGAACTAACTTTCATTTTTGAAAATGCTGGATCATCATAATCTGTGGTTTTCAAACTTTCATTGAGAATCGGCGAGTGGTCTAGGTTTCAAGTTAGTGCAAATCTTAAACTGCGCAAAAGAAATATTTCTCTCTTTTTTTTGGGGGGGTGGATATTTTTGGAGATCTTATTCAATAAAAGGCCATGTGGGTCAAATCGAAGATGATGTTTGCAATGGAGCATGGGGTACACTATAGGAATTTGAGAAAGAGGCTGGGTTGCAAGGTTTCAAATTAAAAAGTTTTGGATGAAAGCAGTAGTTACGGAAAGATTCTTAAGGGCTGATTCTGTTTGTTGCTAAAGAATGATTCTCAAGGGCATTCATGCGGCAAGGATTGAAATTGAGATTTCTCATCTTCAAGATGCAGATGATACAATTATTTCAGCCAAACCAAGAAGATTTGCTTGAGAATTGGTGGTCTGTTATTTCTACTTTTTTACATGCTTCAGAACTTTCTCTTAATTTAACTACAATAGCTGTCGTTGGGATTAATGTTGAAGAGGATGAGTTGATGCTCTGCCTTTCAATTACCTCGGGATTCCTTTGGGGGAAATTAGGAAGAAAAAAAAAAAAAACCTTCTGGGACCAGGTGATCGATAAATTTGCAAAAAAGATATGCAAGTGGAGTAACCTTACTCTTTCTAAAGGAGGTCGTCTTACCCTAGCCCAATTAGTTCTTCGTCTCCCTCTTTATTATTTTTCGGACCTGAAGGCTCCTGTGGGTGGAAGACTCTAGAGCCTAAGGGAAAAGCGAGAGCAAAGCCATGGTTCGAAATTGCCAAGAACTATAACTTCTTCTTCAAGTTTCTTCTTAAAGTAAGTAATGGGAGTAAGGCTAGATTATGGAACGACAATTGAGTGGGGGTTATAACACTGTATGAGAAATTCCCAGATATTTTCTCCATTTCGATGAATTGGTGGTCTGTTATTTCTATCTTTCTACATGTTTCAGGCCTTAATCTTAATTTAAATAAAATGGTTATTGTTGAGATTGATGTTGAAGAGGAGGAGAGAAGGCACAATTGCAATGCTAAGTTGTAGAATTGATGCTCTGCCTTTCAATTACCTTGGGATCCTTTGGGGGTAAATTTTCAGGAAAAATCTTTTTTGGGGACCAGGTGTTTGATTAATTTACAACAAGGATTCTAAAGGAGTTTATCTTATCCTAACTCAATCGATTCTTTGTAGTCTCCCTCTCTATTATTTTTCAGTCCTGAAGGATCTTGTGGGAGTTACACAGGAAACGGGGGATTTTTTTTTTCTTTTTCGGGATGGAGGAACTCATAAACCGTGTAGTCACTTGGTGAATTGGGGAAAAACTTTTCTCCCATTACTTATGGGGGTCTCGGTTTCTGAGCCTACCAGCAAAGAAACAGCACCTTATTACTAAGTGGTTGTGGAGGTTCACTCAAGAAGAAGGGGCTCTTCGCAGAAGGTTGATAGGTCGTGTTTACGGTCAAGAGCCAAATGGGTGGAAGACTCTTTGAGCCGAAGGGAAAAGCGAGAGGAAAGTCATGGTTAGAAATTTCCTAGAACTATAACTTCTTCTGGTTTCTTAATTTTAAAGTAAATAATGGGAGTAAGGTTAGATTTTGGAAGGACAAGTGGGTGGGGGGTCTAATGCTGGATGAGAAATTCCCAGATACTTTCTCCATTTCGATGAAGCAGGATGCGGAATAGTGAGGCAAGAGATTGGTAGACTATGGAGAGGTCTCTTTGATAGGGAGCTGGAAAGCTGGGTTGGGCTGATTGATGCACTCGATGTTGTCCAGTTGGGAGAGTCCAATGACCGATCTTTGTAGTCTCTTGATGCAGGGGGGGTGTTCTCCTCAAAGTCTGTTTTTTTTTTTTTAAGTTGATGGGTTCTGCCTCTTCAGTGAAGTCTCATATTTTAAATGCTATTTGGCATTTTAAGTGCCCTAAAAAGTGAAGGTTTTTTTTTTGAGGTCTATAGTTCATAGAATTTTGGAATACTCGGTAAATGGTTCAAAAGAAATGCAGGAACTGGATTCTCTCACTGTCGGTGTGCTGTCTTTGCCTTGAAAGAGAAGAGAATCTGGATCTTTTGGTTCTGCATTGCCTATTTGCTGCCAATGGTTGGTTCTCCCTCATGAATAGCTTTGGGGTGAGTGGTTGTTTGCCGATATCTAAAGAAAGCTGACTCCTAGAGGTGTGTTCAGGGTGGAAAATGCCCAAAGGGCCAACATTTTGTGGTCTTGTGTGGTCAGGGCACAGGTGTGGCACGTTTGGCTGGAAAGAAATCAGAGGGTCTTGGAGGATAAGTCTTCTTATTTTGAGTTTTTTTAAGTGAACAGCATACAGTTTCTAGTTGAGCGTATAGTCACAGGAAATTCTCTTGTATTAAAACCTTACTACAGTCTTGAACAACTGGAAAACGTTCTTTTATTTTGTTCAAGGCTGGGGCTCCTTCTACCCCGGCCTCTAGGTTTGTTCACCCCATTTTTCTCCTTCTAATGCAATTCTCATTTTTCGTAAAAAGAAAAAAAAAAAAAAAAAAAAAAAAA